CAGTTACAATATAAAAAACTATGAAACGTCTCTAAACACCGTTTCGGGCTTGGAGAGCGCAGGGCGCCGCGGCGCCACGTGGTCCCCCCCAACCCACTTAGCACCGAAATATTTCGTTAAAGATGCAAAATCACTGTAAGAGCCGGAAGCCGTACTGAGATTTCGTTCCTAGGGTTGAGACCCTGGGGTACGGGATAGTTGCAGTTCCTGCGATGTTAATTTTACCCTTGTGATCCATTACTCATCTGTTCGTGGCATCTTTAGGGTTTCCCAAGAGCAACTCGTATTCGACTTCCAATTTAAAAGTTTTGATAAGGTAGCGCGATCAACAGCCACTCTTGTCGTAGTTCTCAGCCCAGGTCTACAAAACCGCAGTAATAGAAGACTTATCAGATGACATAGGTAATATATCTCCCACTGGGATCCCCAATGTATTAAAACCACCGCAGCAAAATTTTGGGAAAGTAAATAGAGTTCAGAAATCATCGAATAGGTTGTGACCCGTCTGCACAAAACATACAAACTGCGATTAAACAATTTATATCAAGCTAATTATTTCATAGTGGTCGGCTACAAAGTGAATTCTCATCCAAGCCAAGCATCTCGATGGCATTGTTCCATAGCATACGAGTTTTATCATCATTGGATAGACCATCATATTCTTCAATTACCTATAAATCAGAAATATCGAATATTTCTGCGACATTACATCTTCGTAATTACAAAAATGAGCTATCATTAATGACATGGGATTACCTTTCCAACTTCCAGTTCTCCAAGAGGGAATGGGTAATCAGTCCCGAGAACGACTTTATCCTGAAATTGCAAACTTCAATTGTTGTCTGTGTCTCCTGCTTTATAAGATCCTAATTAGGGATTTAGCTACAACAGTACAGCAGCCAGTGCCATTGTTTTCGCACGTTAATTGTTGGAGGGGGCTCTTCTTTGGAGGGACGGAACATTCACACGGAACTGGATGGATGCGGCAAACCGTGCGGTGAAATTCGATTTGATTAAAACGACTCTGGCGCCTATCATTGTAGCACAAAGTCGAAGTGGCATAGATAAGTAGCATCAGCTGGCCCTGCTTATCCAATCTACTTGAAACCCGTACCCCAATGATAGGCGCCAAAGCCGTTTTAATCATCAGGAATTTCGCCGCGCGGTTTACCGGTCCATCCTGTTCTGGGTGGATCAACCCATACGCGTTTCTTTGCGCGCGTCCGTCGGAACTAGGTCACGCCGGAGCTATCGCACGCGGGGTGTCAGCCCGCGATACTTGACGGACGTTGCTGTTGTCAGTGGGGCATACGAATTGCGCTCGGTCCACGGCAGTCAGCTCAAAGAGAAAATAACACAGACTATGCAAATCATTCGCTCCATTGAGAAGTGGTGTACTGTAATGTCATCTCAACCTCAGTGGGCTGCGCCGCGCGCGGAGTGGGCAGGTGACCTACTTTCGACAGACGCGCGCAACGGACGTTCTCCCGGTTGATATGTTACCTTTTTAGCATCGCGAGGAGAAAAGATTCGTTATAAGGCACGAATTGAATTCCGTGACAATGAACGATTTGTATGCTGCTTTAACCTTCCAGATCCATAAGTCAAAACTGTGGATCATGAGATTGACAAATGAGTCCCAGGTCGGTTACTGGGAGCACATCGGTTATGCCAACATGCCTTACTAGCTTTAG